TAATTAAGAGATTCCAGGTTTAGTAACTGGTTTAAAACTAAGGATTGGATAATACGTCTTGAATTTCTACTATAGTGGCTTCAGGCAAGTTTCTGAGGTTTCCTATCAGTCCTAGAATTTTTCCTAATTACTTATGCCAAGTAGCACTTAAGTAGGCTGATGGTTTCATTCATTCTAACGACTTGGGGATCAACAGGCCACCATCCTATATCCTTGCAGGCAAAACACTTTGATTATCCTTTTTTCCTGAGGGTTATCATAGTAATTGTACTGAACATGTCATTGACAGTTATGTCACTTGGTCTGTCCCAGAATCTCAATATTTCACGGGGCGCCATCACCTCTAATCTATAGAGGACAGTAACCAAAGAGGTTTTCAAAGATATCTGTACCCCCCTCACTCCATACCTTTATGAAGGTAAATTCTGTGGGCCTTCCTGGAAGTGGTATGGATACAGCATGACTAGGCAGGATGCACATAATAAAGTATGTGTTGGTCAACTTTTCATTGCTGTAACAAAATACCTCACAAAAACAACTTAAAGTAGGGAAGAATTTATTTTGGATCATGGTTTCAGAGGTTACAGTCTATGGTTGGCTGGCTCCATTGTTTTTGTGTCCATGGTGAGGCAGGGCACCATTGTAGAAGAACATGGTAGAGCAGAGCAGCTCACTTCATGGCAGCCAGGAAGGAGAGAAACACAGAGGAGAAGTCCCAGCACAAGATATACCCTTCAGAAGCATGCCCTCAATGACCTGTTTCCTCCAACTCAGCTCCACTTGCCAGTTTCCACCATTTCCCAATAGATTAATCCATTGACTCGATCAGAGCCCTCATGAGCCAATCACATCCACCGGCTGGGGATCCAACACTTGAGCCTTTTGGGGGACACTCCAAACCATAACAAAGTCCAACATTCCCATCTGCCTAAACATGCATACTGTCCTCTACAGTGTATCGGGGAAATTCTGGCATCTCAGCATGTAGACTGTAAGTTGTTTTTGAGTGCGACCTCAGTTAACCCGCTTAGAAGCACTCCAGATGCTGAACTCAACACACCAATTCTGAATCCCATGAAAGTGCCTGACAAGATCCTGTAACATCTTCAGTGTGTAAGTTCTCTCCTCCAAGAGAGCCAAGAGAGAGTTCTATATCTGGGGTATGAATGCTGAAATTCTAACTCTCATTCAGAGTTTCAATCTTCATTCATATCTGCTCAAACGCCCCATCTTATATCACAGGGTTCCAGACCTTCTCCACTAGTGTCCTTGCCTTAGCATACTAGAATTAGATCTCACATTTAATTGACACTGCAACTCTGTAGTTTTTATAGTCAGGCCCTGGACTTGATCCTTAGCCATTTCTGGCTGGCAATGGGTTTCATCAAAGCTGCCAAAGAAACTTTCTGATTTTTAATCAACACCTTAAGTATAGAACTCAAAGCTCTCTATTTTTCTGTGTGTCTGTGCGTGTGTGTGTGTGTGTGTGTGTTGTGTGTTCTCACAGAAGCAGTCAGAGCAGCCAAATGATACTACAATTTTAATAATTATCACTATAATAGCAGCTAAGTGCTAGAGATACTTTTGTTTTTCAGTACTGGGGATTGAACTCAGGGCATCGTGCATACTAGGCAAACGTGATTCTACCTGAACTATGTCTCCAACCCTTTTGTTTTTCATTTTGTTTCTGAGACAGGATCTAGCTTACTTTGCCTGGACTGGCCACAAACTCATAATCCTCCTGTCTCCACCTACCAAGTAGCTGTAAAAGTGCTAGAGATTAATCTTCCAAGGCTGTGCCCTCTATTCTACCTTAAGCCAAGATGATGGCTGAGTAACTGTAATAGCACTCCACACTACGGAATATTACTGTTCCATTTCTCTCTGCAAAGAGTTTATATACATAATCATCAGGTGTGTAATACCATCCCTGAAAGCCATATTAAGAGTCTCTTTCCTGAGATTACTTCCAATTCATATAACTGTATCAGTTGTGGTTCTGGGAAGAAAGAGATAGTACAGAAAGACAAATTAATGAGAAGACTATTTATAAAAATGAGGACAGGGTTAAGGGAATCAACAAGAGAGAGTGAGGCACCCTGAGACTAGAAACAGTGGGAAGTCATCATCCTCCCTATCTCTAAAAGGACAGCTTGTTGGAATCCTGTAAGAGGTTTATAGTTGTACGACATGGTCACAAACACCCATTATGGTCTCTTCTGCCCATTACACTAGTCTATGAGAGGTACAGGCAAACTTTAGCTAGCTCTTCTGACTGTTTTACCTATTATAATGTGAGGAAGTCAAGAAGGAACAGTATAAAATTATTTATAACTTGCTATCTTTTCTTAGGTATTGAATTTGCAGACACAGCCAGTGGGTAAGTTGCATGTAGAAATCCTTCTATCGATTCTCATAAAAACCTTAAAACTGCCTTGAGGATAAAGGTTAATAGAAACAGCTTCTTAACAGATCTAAAGATTTAGTTCAAGTTGTATTAAAAAAAGGACTTGCACTGCTTCTTTCCTTACCTCTTCCTAAAACTCATCATAATAACCTGATCCTCATTCTGAATAAGATCCATATTCTATTGCCACCAAGGATGAAATATAAGAATTATTCTGCTGGGTGGCAGTGACTCATGCTTGTAATCCTAGCTACATGGAAGGCTGAGATCTGGAGGATCATGATTCAAGGCCAGCTTAGGCAAATAGTTAGCGAGACCTCATCTCTAAAATAAACAGAGCAAAATGGACTGGAGCTATGGCTCAAGCAGTAGAGTACCTGTTTTGCTAGTGCAAAGTCCTGAGTTCAAACCCCTGTCTCACCAAAAAAACAACAAAAAAAAGAAGAATTGTTCTGTACTTCGAAAACATGGTTTTTCCCTCAACAGACAAGGGGTCTTAATCAATAACAGAAAGAATAGTTAATACCATCTACCTGAAAATTTAAACCATATTTATGGCAATGTTTTCCAACAATTAATTGGTTTATATTTAACAAATCTCTGGAGTAGTCAATTCAATCACATAAAGTTATACTATACAACTAGTTTATGTTGGAAGAGTCACCATCAAGAGGTCATATTGTTTAAATCTATGTGTTCCACAGGCTAAAATTATTGTCCTTATACTCCACACTGTCACACTTCATGATCTGAATCAGTATTTTTCTCATGGATAATAAATTTTGAAACTTAGTTATGCAGAAAAAAAAAACTATGACCTTAATAATTTTTGTTGTTTAGCCTTAGCTAAAATTAAGAGTGGAAACTACAGGCCCCAGATTATAATTAGCATTTTATTAAAGAACTTTCAAAGCAGGGAACAATAACACAAATCATAGAGCAAATCACTATAGTTTGTTATATGGAAAGAGTAAAAACTGGAAAATATTTATGTCAGATATTATGAAGTGCTAAAAATACACAACAATCAGTTTGGGATAAAAGACCTAGTAAGTCATATTTATTCTTATTCTATACCTTGTCATTATAAACTTGGGTAGCTTGTAAAAGTTTCTTACAATGGTTCAAACATGAAATTATGTGCTTAATTGTTTAAGATGTAAATTAAGTTAACTTACTGTATGTTTTTTATAAGGAAATTGAATTTCTTCACCAAACTACATCACTGATCTTGTTGAAATTTAACTCAGCCAGTACTTTAAAAAAAGTCTTTAAAATTCTTTTGGAGTTAGTCTAAAGCAAATGTTTTCCTTTTTGCATCATTTGTGGTACAAGTAAAATAATGATTATAGCAGACACATTTTTTAAACCACCACACAGAATCCTGACTTTTTCCATGCTATCTACTTCTGGGCTGATGGTCAAAGCAGATGGATCTGCCATTATTGGCAACATAAAATATCTGCACTCCAGGATTTTGTTGAAGCCTATGATCTCAAAAATTTTTTGTCAAATTCATTTTAAATGTTGTATTTCAAGAATAACATACTTAAAGAATTGTCAGAAGTTGTCCCAAACTGGGCATTCAGAATTTCCACTTTGTGACGGCTCACGAGGCAAATTTTTCTGAAGTATTAGCACCAGGAAAAGCTATGCCTCTTTCTTGATCAATTGGTTCATCTTTATCTCAAAAAACACTGCAAAATCCTCTGCTTTGGCCAGTCTGTTCCATTGTTCTGGCTTCCTGTTTTCCCTCTCCTTTAACTTCATGCTAGCTTCCTTGCTTACCTATTTTCATTGTGCATAAAAATAAGTATGTATTTTTTTTTGTGCATGCTGACTCAAACTCTCTGTGGAATAATACAGTATAAATAAGAATAAATACATTTCAGACTAGAGGAAGGATCAATGCCTTCAGAACCAGAAGGGAGCGGGAAACCAAAATGAATCTGTGACAGTAAACAAGTACTAAGATACCAATAGAACATTTGAAGAGATTTTGAGTCATCGAAGCCAAAAGTATGTGCCCACCAAAACAAGTGCCAAGAAGCTCTGAAAGAAGGAACTGTTCTTCAACAATTTTTTTTCAATGCACCAAACACATAAGCTTTGTCCATGGAGCATGTAAGTCTAGGCTTACTTATGTTCCCAAAATAAGTGCTCTTTGTACATGGAGCACAAGAAAATACATATATTCCCTGTCTTGTTAAGGTGTGAATTTAATTTCTTCATTATGCAGTTGATTGTAATTACCAACAATAAGGAGTATACTTCCTATGAACAGAATTGAATTATATGTTCAACATCTGCAACTTGTTCTTTTGTGATTTTTCAATCACTAAATGTAGTGGCTGAGTGTAATACGGCTTTTTCTCTTGAAAATCTAGATTGGACGTTAGAAGTTAACTTTACCAGTATACATAAAGCTGGTAACTTCATTTCTACCTTCAGAACAAAACAGCTTGTCAAATAGGAACAAAATTACTTCCCTTAACTCCTGTTCAATACTCTGTGCACTGTTAAGTATTTTAAAACAACTCTTACTTGATGATCCTCTTTACAGTACTGTAAAATGCTTTATAAACACTCGAGAATGGGCCCTTTGCATTTATGTATGTATGCATGTGTTATGTATTGATTTATGCATTATGTGTTTTGTACGTATTTATTTATTTTTAAGCTTCTACAGAACACCTGATCTCATTAAAGTTGCAATACCTTAGTCATTCCAGCAGGGTCAAAGGCCACTGAAACTTACTAGGAATTGGGAGTTTCAGAGATGTCTCAGAAAATCAAGGCAAAAGACAGGTTGCACAGGTGTGCAGCGTAACCTCAAACTGGTCCCGCTGGGCAGAGTTTGCAGAACAGGAAGGTGCAGTAGGCAGGGTGTGCCTGCCGCGGCTTAGTTAACCTGGCACGGCCCCATCACCTTCCCCGGCGCCCCACTGCCAAGTTCCCGTGGGTCCGCTGCTCTGCACGTACCTTTCCTCCCCAACCCTCCCCACCTTGAACTTGGAGAGGTGCGCGCCCCGCGCCCGCGCGCCCATCCTCCTTCCAGCTCCCTACCCGTCACCCTCCAGGTTTACCTGACGAGTGTGGTGGGTGGGGGCGGCTGGAGGAGGCCCGCCGACCTACGAATGTCCCTAAAGTCGCGGAGGGGCTAGGAGAGCTAGGCCCCGACAGCCAGGACGCGTGGCGAGGAGGGCGAGCGGGGCGCAGGGTGTCGTGCCCTCCTCTGGCCTCAGGGCGGCACTCTGGTCCCGCGGCCGACGCGCTCTGGCGGGCCGCCGGGCGCCGACCCACGCCGGCCGGGAACGTGTCTCCCTCCGGGTGACGCAGCCCGGGTGGGGAACGTGGTGCGGCGGCAGCGGCGGCGACCGTACGCGCCTCCGCCGTCTGTGAGAGGACGCACGGTGTAGCCGGCGGGCGGGCGAGAGACCCCGAGCGGCCGCGCGGCGCGGGGAAGCGGACGCAGCGCCGTCGAGGAAGTAGTCCCGGCCGCGGCGCTTCCCACCGAGCGGGGCCGCCCCCTCAGGTACCCGGGCGGCCCTGGGCCCGGCGGTCGTTCGCGGAGGCCGCGCCAGGCGTTCTCGGGCGTCCGGGGAGGGGAGGAGGGAGGGGGGAAGGGCCGCGGCGCTCGGGGTCGGAGCCCGCCACGCCGACCCGCCTTTGCGCGTCCCTCGTGCAGGCGGAGCCGCGGCCAGAGGCTCCATGTTGGGAAGAGGCGCTGCTCGCCCTCGTTAGCGGGAATCGGGGCGCCGCGTACCGAGCCGGCGGGGGCCGGGCTCTGAGTGAAGATGGAGGCCCCGCTGCGGCCTGCCGCGGACATCCTGAGGCGGAACCCGCAGCAGGACTACGAGCTCGTTCAGAGGGTCGGCAGCGGCACCTACGGGGACGTCTACAAGGTGAGGCCCGGGGAGGCGGAGGGTAGCTCCCGCCGCGACAGTCGCCACATTGTTGCAAACCGCGGCCCGACTTTGTTGTGGTTTTAAGACTTATTTATGGTGATGAAGCTTCGCGGGAGGATGTGCCAGAGAGCGCGTGGAAAAAAAATGCTTCGTGGAAGGCAGGAGACAGGGAAGACTATTGACAGTCAAACATTTGCTTTTTTATTTTTTTCTCTTGTGTTGATGGACGGGGTTGACTTCTAAAAAGCCGCATGAAACCGTGTCTCGTCGAGTTTTGGCTGTAAGCAGTCTGATACCGAATCAGAATAACGTGTGTGTAAACATGACCCCATGTAGGAAGATGCTATTGCTTGGCAAAAGTTTGATCAGGGAATATTAACTTGCTGCTTCAGCAGTTCCTCTCTGTGGAATTTATAACATTCCGTAGACACGAGTGGATGGATAAGAGCCGCTGTCCTTTTTTTTTGGGGGGGGGGGTCTTGTGTTAAAACGAGTGATGGTGAGTTACTCTTAATTTAAGATTTAAAGAAACATTGTAGAGAAGCAATAGGAGGAGAGATTGAGATTATCCTCTGCCTTTTGTTCTCTGTGCCAGAAAGGGAGCATTAATACAACTCATTTCCTTGCTTTTTTGCATCAGCTTTATATTTTGGATCTTTAGAAACGGCCTTGTGTCAGAGTAATTAGCCTGGAAACTCCGGGGTATGTTGCGTTTTGCACAAGTGGTAATAATGAAATTTGCTTTTAATTTCCCCCCATCAATAGTAACAATTCAAGGTGGTAGTATGATAGCTCTAGTACTGTTTGACTGCTGAAGTGAACTCTACTGGATAGATAGGCTTTTCTGTTACTTCAAAAGACATTTGAATCTTTATACTAGGCACTGCCCTGACTACTTAGTTGTTGAATTGTGAGCAGGTTCCAGTTCTTACTTTTGACTTCAAAATGCATACTTATATCAGAATCCTCTTCTTTATATAAAGTTAGAGGTAGTTAGCTCTCAGTGTTTTCTGTGGATTAGCCATTTTGTGGAATGCTTCTCCAAAATTGAAATTCCTGTTTGCTTTCTCAGTCTTATTTTTTAGTCATCTTTGTCTATGATTCATTGTATATTAGACCACTCCAGTTCAATTCATGTTAATTATATAGTAGTGTAAATTCCATTCTTGCATACTTTTTCCTACTACATGAAAATTTAAAGAGATTGTTTTCCCCACAAAGATCCCAAGATCTCCACCTTTTTTCTTTATGGATGTGGCAACTACAGCAGCTATCGGGAGCAGGATTTTATTCTTGCCAGGCAAAGCAAAGATTTTATTAAAGGAGCAGTTCATGCCTCTTAACCCTGCTGCCTCCCTGCCCTGTGCTCCTCTTCTGTAACTCTTAAAGAGAAAATAAAAAACCAAATATTTATCACAGCCCACCTTCACCTTTCCTGCCACCTCCCTACTGTAACAATCATGCTCATACTTATATATGTAGTCACTGCACACCAGGCCTGCCTCTAATTCCTAATCATTCTTAAGACATTCTCTTCTCCCTGTCTTTTGTTTTTCTTTGTTCTAATGACCTGGGATCACTTCCCACCTCCCCATTTCCACCTGTCACTGTCATTTCTTTGAAAGCCTTACTCAAATTCTTCTCCAGCAAGCTCCAGCCCCTCACCTTTGTCTCTAACCTGTCCTTTACCTGGCACTCTGTCCTTTACCCAAACTGGCCGCCTTGCTGTTCCTTAAGGGCAGTGAGCATCTTCCCACTTTGGAGCCTTTGTTCTTGTATTTCCTCTGCTCAGAGTCTTCCCAGACAGCAACAGGGCTTGCTTCCTTCCTCCTTTCTTTTACAACCTATCTTTTTTCCCTTACTTTTTGGTTTTCCTTTATATTTAATTGCCATCTAGTATTTATTTTCTTTCTTTTTTCTTATCTATCTTGGTCCACTAAAATACTCTGTGAGAGTAGGGATTTCAGTCTATTGTCACTGCTTAGCACCTAGAATTACACCTGGTACAGAGTAAGAGTTTTCTAAAAAGTTGATGAATAAATGACTATCAGTGAGTCTATCATATATTTCTCTGAGCATTGACTTTTGACCTCACAACTGGTAAGTTAGTATTTAATACTCTGTGTAGTCCTGTAGTGCCTTTTATGATACCCTGCGTATGTAGAGGGTTTTTATTGTTGTCTTTGGCAGTGCTGAGGTTTAAATTCAGTGCTCTACCACTTGAACCCCATTCCCAGCCCTTTTTTGCTGTAGTTATTTTTCAGATAGGGTCTATCTTTTTTTCTCAGGCCATCCTGGGACCATCACTCTCCTACCTACCACTTTTAACATAGCTGGGATTACAGATACAAACCACTACACCTGGCTTGTTTGTTGAGATGGGGTCTTGGTAAACCTTTGGAGTACCTGGGATTACAGGTGTGAGATACCACTTTGGACTGCATCAGTCTACGTATATATTTTTATCTCAAATTTCAATAATTTGAGTTTTCATATCATATCCATTATTGGTAATCTAAGTCCTATAAAAATTTGTCAATTTGTATGTACTACTAAATAAGCTCTAGGCAACTGGGGTGATTCATGATAAGCTGAAGATCCTAGGAAGTTTTAAAAGTATTTTCAGACTACAATACAATTAGTAAAATACAGTGAAGAGCTGGAAGAGTGGATCAAGTCATAGAGCACTTGCTTAGCAAGCACAAGACCCTGAGTTCAAATTCCATACTGCCCCCAAATAATACAGTGAAGAATAATGAAGCCATATTAATCCTTGTTCTGCTTATTATTCCTTCTTTTTCTAACATCTGAGATATATTATGAAGCAAAAACTTTAAAAGGACTGTAGCTTTGAGATCTTTCTGAGTTACATTTACACTCTTCAGAACCACAAGTCTCATCTGAAGCTCTCTGTCTTTGCACAGTCTTAAACTGGCTGTTCCCTGGTTAAAAGAAATGGTGGAGGGGAAAGAAACACAAAAGAGAAAAAGAGTAGTGGATGATGGATAGAGGACTAAATTTTAACTGAGCAAATTTTATTTGTAATTACTGTAAAATTTACAAATCTGTTAACAGAAGGGGAACTCTGGAGGCACAGTATCTCTACTATCATCTGTCCACAGCAGATTTGTACACACAGATCAATTACAGTGTGATGATAACAGTTCACAACCACCAGTGTACACTATTTGGACAGTCTTAACCCAGTTTTGTACCAAAATTGTTTCCATCCTAAATTCTAGAGAAATTCTAAGAATTTCTCTTCTTTTTTTCTTTTAACCTTTCATGGCATATAAAGTTAGACAATCCCATGAATTATTTTTTAACTTTTATTGCTTTTTCTGATTGATAATGCAAGTGTGACATGTTTAGTTCTAGGAGGGCAGTAATGTCCCTGTGTAGTACTGGATTACATCAAACAATAGATGCTTAGTAAATGTTTGTTGACTGACCTTAGTGGTAGAAACTTGCCCAGAGATAAACACCATTAACAACTTAATATATTTTATTTTGGGCTTTTTTCCTAAAGGTTTTATTTAAATCAATATGTTTCCAGAAGAGCTTATATAGGTAGCAACTTTTTCTATTTAATTGGAATGACCATTTTTCCTACTCATTAAATTTCTTCAAAAATACTGTTTTTAAAGGATCCACTGAATGAGCCTTCATTTAGTTTATTATTCTGTTTCATATTCCTAATTTTAAAATTTTTTTTTTTTACAATTACAAATGACATTGTAATTTGTATAGAAATCCTTGCCATATAGTCTTACCACTTTTGTGGGTTCCTCTGGATGCTAGATGAGCTCAGCCTATGAATCCCTCCTTTACTTGTGCTCTCCCCTTGTCTCTCCCAAGCCAGTGGTCACAATTCTGGAGTGACTTTAGACACTTTGAAACATACCCCATTGTAAGAAACAAAACAATACATCACAACACTTTAGTAAGCATCCATTTATTTAAGAAATATGAATTGAGTGCTGACTGCATGTTAGGGTACGGAGATGCAGACATGAGAAAAAGAAAGTACACTATCAACAAGGAACATATAATTTAGTGTCAGAGAAAGAGACATGTAAACAGTCATAATTTTGTTAAGTGCCATAGTAAAGGGGAAGAAATGGTCAACTCTATCCTCACTAGGGATAAGGCAAGGGCAGAGAAGAAAGTGAACCAGGGAAAATTAACTGGATTTTTAAATGCAGGTTGCTTTCTAGGTGGGCAAGCTGAAAAAGATATTCCAGTCTATGGGAATAGTATGTGCAGGTACCCAGAGGCTAGAGAAACTGTGATGAGTTTTGAGAGCTATACATCTTCATTCCAGGTTCCATAAGCCTGGTGGAGATACCATAAATGGAGAACATAGGCTATGTCTTGGCAGGAAAGGACCACATGAAGGACCTTGTATGTCATGTCAAGGAATTTGGACTTTTTTGTGTGGACTGAAGAAGTACTTTAAGAGAAAAAGTCTCTTTGTGTAAGAGGATGGATTATACACAGTGGCTAGAGGTATAGAGACCAGCTGCTGAATAATCCAGATGAGAGTTGTAAACCTAAACTTAGATAGTGTCTGGGAGACGAAAGAAAGGGATGGATTTGAATCATTTAGAAGATAAGCAAAAACTCCTGGTGATTGGTGGGGAGCAGGTAATTGATGGCATTTATAATTTCTGGCTTGGGTGACTGATTCATGCCATCAGCAGAGTTAGGAAATACTGAATTTGTGAGGTCTGGATATTGTATTTGGCTTTGGACATAGGCATTGCATAAGTAGATGTGTCTGATGGGTAGTAGGACATGTAATTGCCCTTGAAAGCTATGGACTGGACATATAGCTTTAGGAATCATCACTTTACCGGCTAAAGTAAAGTAAACCTTTAACCTATAAAGGTTCACCTGTGAAATATAGGTCACATTACCCAGGAGATTTTTTAAGGAAAGGTAGTAATCTTAGAGGGGTGGCAGAAGAAAATAATATACTGAGGATGTCTAAGAAA